TGGTGAACTCCATGCCCAAGAGGGTTAAGGCAGTGCTGGAAAATAATGGTGGCCACACAAAATATTGACACTTTGGGCCCAATTTGGACATTTTCACTTAGGGGTGTACTCACTTTTGTGGCCAGCAGTTTAGACTTTAATGGCTGTGTGTTGAGTTATTTTGAGGGGAAAGCAAATTTACACTGTTATACAAGCTGTACACTCACTACTATAAAACTAGCAAAGTGTCATTTCTTCAGTGTTGTCACATGAAAAGATATAATAAAATATTTACAAAAATGTGAGGGGTGTACTCACTTCTGTGGGATACTGTATATATCAAATGCCGTGTAGCCACCTGACTAGCGACTGGACTTTGTGTGAATGTCCACAGAACTGGAAGACTTTCTGAGTGTATATAAGCATTTAAAAGAACATTTAAGAGATGAAAAAGAGGAAATAAGGAGAATCAATAAATTATGAATTATTTATTGCGTGAATAATGTAATGCAGTGTAATCATGTAATCAATAAAAAAAGTAGTCTGATTACGACAGAGCTCCAGACTGCGACAATTTTTTTCTGCCGCTGCGACACACTGGTGCGACCACGACGTTGCCCAACTCATAAGGGCTGCCATTTCTGTTGCATATGAGAAACATCAAACGGCAAACAAAATAAAAGTGTAACGAAACCTCGCTATTTGTTTGAGCTGCGCAGCACGGATCATTTATCAGCTAGGACCAATCATGGGCTGTTTCTTCATTAGGGTGACAGGGCGATGCACCAACAAAGTGCGAAAGGGAGGGATTTTTTCTATCACATTCAACCACAGCTGTCACTGTTCTAGACTGTTTGTTCTGCCTCTTGATATATAGTCCAACCAAGTCCAATCTTTATAAAACAATAAAATTGAAGCTGCACAAAAGGGCTGTGCTTAAAAATATAAAACATTACAGGAAACCAGGGAGGAACTTGAAACATGAGTCAGTTCTGAGTGTGGCTCAACCTGCTGTTCACAGACTGGTGATTAAACACTTCCACAGGAGAGAGAGGAGGAGAGGAGAGGAGACAAAGATGGACAGACAGACCGAGAGAACTGACCTAAAACTGAGGTTTAGTGGCTGCTTGTCATAATTACCACAATTACAATTAAAAACAGTTCACGTCTTTGTCGACCTTGTGATTGCTAGTTGGAAACTCACAATTATGAAACCTCAGTCTTGTGACGTAATATATAAAGAGTCAAAATGGCCACAGCCTCAACAGTTATAAGTAGTAAGGAGGACCACATTTGTATTTCATATTCCATTTTATTGTAGCTGATGCTACCTGGTGCACTTTTCTTAATATTTCAAGGTCATCATAGGTCTATTTTGATGTTATAAGTGTTGCCATAGAAGCAAATAATTACTGAGTCTGAGGCAGTGAACAACTCAAAGTAGAGTCTGCAAATAACTGGGTGTTTCTTCAACGATGGGCATTTTAACCCCACCAACTAGAAAATAAACTTTTTGAACATTTTTGAAATACAACAGCCGAAGGGTGAATTTCTCAGCTGGCATTTATGCATCCAAAATAGGGATGGGCATTCCAAGCAAAACTAATATTCGAAAATCGCTAGGTATTATTCGATTATTATTCGAAAATCGCACCCCTCCCCGCATGCACGCACAAACACCCTATAAACAGAGAGAGAGATGGGATTCACGCTTTCAATCTGCATGATAAACTGTTTAATTCAGAAGATAGGCTATTAACTCAAGCCATATAATGATCGTAACATGCTGAAACATTAATATAATAAACATAACTGAATGATGGAACTTATCAACATAACAGTCCGTCGATTAGCATAAACCAACTGCCCATAAGGCTAGGACATATCCATTTAAAAAAAATTTAATAGGGAATAGATACGAGATGGGAGGAAAAATATACTTCAATATCTTCTGTCGCAATTATATCGTTGGGTAATTATACTGTATGTAAACTGCGGGCATCAAGGAGTCGTTATTAATATGCGGGGCATTGAAATACCAATGTGCGCTTGTTTTTTACTTTCACTTTCGAGATTCACGATCACATACGGAGCAGCACTCGGCAGTACTTAGTACTTACCACACATTTTACAAGAGTAGATGTTTTGTCAGTGGTGCTCAGGATCTGCAAATCATTCGCCATCATCCTATCAGTCATCTCTCCTTACTCTGTTTATGTGGTAAGTGAAATGTTATGTACTGTAATGTAACAGGCTAACGTTAGCAAGCGGCTAACCATGTCCCTTTAGTGGCTCCGTAGAACGTGTTATTTGTTTTCCGCGCCTTTCTGAATACGGATTCAGCCACACCTCTAACCCAGTCGGGGGTGTTTGTGGTCCACACAGAGCTCTTATTTGACATCGTCCCAAATTACTGTAACCATTATATGCTACGCAAGTCTTTTTTTATGCCACGCAAGTCTACAGTGTGCGCGTGAGACAGTGTGTTCTTCTATTGTCTTTGACAGCTTTTAGGTACGTTATTGGCAGCGCCACATGAACGCGTTACCACCGCATCAGCACGGAAAACATGGGGACATTTTTTAAGACAATAATCGCACAACCTATTTGATATTCTAGAATTAAATCAACTAATCGAATATTTGAAAATAGTGACCCATCCCTAATCCAAAATACATAAAATCAAATAATATTTATAACAGCTTGACTGAAAATGATACACAATAATATATTCGATAATATTAACCTTTTTAAATTGGATTTATTTTCCATAAACAGGATATGTCTAACATTTCATTTCATTGTCTCCACTGACACTGATGTCTCTGTGGCATCAATGGGGCTAAAAGACACCACAACTGTGGAATAAGACATTTTTGAAAAATTGCTATAGATAAATTTCAACCTATAACAAACCAATGACCATTCTGCTCTTTGTTTAGATCATCATAGATTTAAACAGTCGTTTTTTATGATTCATTTTTTATAGTGAAAATTTAGGTAGAGTAAAACATTAAAATCAATATATAAAAGCCATTTGAAAAGTTGCTAATGCAAATGATGTATAAGGATAAATGATAAACGAGGCATGTACGAACATAGAAACTGACTATAGTAACCATATAAGTTTCTACTAAAATATCAAACCTACTGGTACTTCTTGCAAAGTAATTTTTGCTAACCTTACGTATTTGGCACATAACTTGCCCCTGTGCTAGACGTAAACGATACCTCAACTTTTGTAACGGCAGTCGATCTCTGCTCTATTTTTGGTACAGGCAGGATTTAGACATCCAACACTCTTTGTACCAACCTGGAGTCATTTAAATGTGTGCCAAAATGTAAATTTTTACACTAGATGCAAGGACCTTGAACCACCTGTATTTTTACACATTTGGCTTATCAGAGCTCATCACAATCAAGCTAAGTATAAGAACACAAGCCGTTCTCTAAAATACAGCCCTGGGACAAACAGTCTCTGTACATAGTGTACCGTCTTTCAAGCAAACCCAAACAACACTAGAGGCGTAGAGATTGAGGCAGAGAGATCTGTAGAGAGATATCTGTAGTCAGTACAGTGAGAGGCGAAGAGGAAGAAAGCCAGGAAACAATTAGGAAAACCAAAAAAGATCTACACATTCCCAGAACTGTGAGTGAATTACATCTATAAACAAATTTGATGATGAAGAGATTCCTTAAATGACTCAATGTCATAGAACAGCTTACATACAGTATTCAAGCCGCTAATGTATATACTGTACAAATATCCAATGTCATGCCCCTTTTCTATTCTCATGATAGCCGTGAATAACGCCTGTAACCATAGCAACAGTGACAAAGTAAATATCAAAGATGTTGACTTGCATAACACCACAATCTAAGTTAATAAATGTTCAATCTATGTTAACAATATAAAAGTCCAATCGAAAAGCAAGGTGTGATGGTGATTTTCACTGAACTCACTCTCAAAATGCAGTTGTGAGTCCTGAAATGCATCACTCTTGTTCAAGAATTGTACTAACCCCTCTAAAATGGAATTAACCTCTAAATTTGTGAATTAATGAACAACGATTTTCTTATTTGTCCAGTAGCTTACTGTCGTTCTTATGATTAAGCCATATGACAACTTACCTTGCCATCCTGGTTTGCACTGGCAGCGTTTGGCGGCGCTGTCACACCATCCCCGCAGAGGGGAGCCACAGTCAGAGGAGCAGTAGGGCACATCACAGGCCTCTCCTTTCCAGCCGACCTCACATTCACACTGCACAGAGTCACTGGAATTCCCCACACGACACTCCCCATGATCAGAGCAGTTATTTGGGCACATATTCAACCTAGGTAGAGCAGAAAGACACAGAGAAATCAATGCAACAGGAAATCTCACATCTGTATTGATATACTAGACCAAAACTAAAATGTGAAGTTTGCAATTGCTGCATTACTGGCGGAGCTGCAAAACTAAGGATTGTTTCTGGTCTACCACTGTTTGGACAACAATTCCCCACTAACAGCTAATTTCAGGTAGCCCCACCCTCAACCCACACCATTGGCCATGACTGAAGTTGATATGCCAGACTGCTCAATCAGAACAATGTTTTGATAGAGCCAACATGTTTACAATTTTCAGGAACAGTGTTGTTATTGTTAACTAGGGCTGGATGGCATTAAAGGAAAACCTGTTAAATAATGTGATACAGCATGCCATGCAAATTAAAATACATTTATGCTATGAGTAACATACTTGTTTAATATTTTTTGGCACTAAAATGTTAAGTCAATTCTCTGCTATTTGTGTCAACCTAAACCTTTCTTTGTAGCTTTCTGAAGTATTAAAAGCATTTCACTGTTGCAAGTCCTTGCAAAATGCATATCGCAATTTGTGCAATTGCATTATTTTGATATATGTTTCAGCCCAGTTGTTGACCAAAACTAAAACCCATTAAATCATTTTCATGAATTGAAATAAAGCTGAAATGCAAATTTAAAATAATATTTATTTAAATCATATTTACATTTATTTCATACAATGAAAAACATGGCAACATTTCATATTATCAAATTAAGTTAAAGTACTAAATCTAAAATGCAACATGAAAATATAAAAAGCTAATTCAAAATATTATATGAATGCTAAAATAACACTGTTCAGGTAGTCAACCTAAAAATGGTGTACTTGCAGTGTCTGCATATTAGACCATGATAGAAAATAGGGCTGGACGGTATATCGATTTATCAATATATTTTTTTATAAGCGATATGGTATGAGGCAATACCGCTTATATCGATATACAGTAGTTTGATACGAGCGCATCTGAATAATAGCAGAAGTTGCAGAGTGAGCTGCTGTGAGGAAAGTGCATAATCCAGTTTTTTTCTAAACACGAGACATGCTTCATATTAAGGGCTTTAAAATGACTCCTAAGATATAGTTAATATGTACAGTTTAACGCGGTTCGCCCCTTCAGATGCTCTGACAGAGACTCTACTTGTTCTGTTTGAGATGTGCTGTTTTCCTCAGTGCATAACTTACATTTAATATATATTCTCCATCTGTAAACGTTAAAAAGTCATTTCCATTTTGCTGTCTGGAGCCTTCTGCATGCGATTCTCTGCTAAACCTCACAGACTTCAGTGAACGAGCACCGCCACATGCATGCACGCCAAAGAAGCACAATAGAATAAGAGCATAATAATTATGTCATATAAAGAATTGTAAACCTACAAGTAAGTGTATTTTATGATAGCAGAAATGGGGTAATCAAAATATAATTCAATTAATCTGTGATATTGTTTATTTACATTCATTTATAATTTAGTAAATTTAACTTTAATATAAACATTGTTTCACCGGGTAACATTGGGCAGGATGTAAAAAAAAAAATACAGTAATACAGTATATATATATATATATATATATATATATAATTTTTATGACTGAAAATTGATTTTATATTATAAATCTATTGTTTATTTGCCGTTTTACTAAAATACATAATTTAATTAAAATCCAAAAATTAGAATTGTATATGGTGATGTGTAGAAAGTGATATATCAGCCATCAAAATATAAAATATAGACAACAGTTTAATTTTGTAATCTGGAACAGACAAAAGCCCTAATATTATCTGCTTCCAATGTCTGCTGATTCAGACTAACACAATTTTTTAACAAACATGCTAATTTATAGTTTTCAGTCACGTGACTGGCTCAAAGACCTGGCGGGGGCGAAAAATCCATAGAACTACAGCACAAGCCCGTCAAGTTTCCAATCCACAAATATTTAGATCACCTCTCAAAAGGATAAAATAAATGCAGGTTTTGGCCATTTGCAATACATATAAAGCACCCACCGCAATATTTCAATGAAAAACAGCATGACATTCTAAAACGTTTAATGTGTAAACACTTAAAGTGCCTTTAAAACAGTGATATTAAAAGATCAAATACAGTACACACCTTATTGATGATGTGTGCTTTATGCAGGCAAGCAGATGAGCTCGGAATATGAACGCAATGCGCTAATGGTTAAGCGTCTTCTTTATAATGGTTTTCTATGGGAAAAGATTTCATATTAAACTTTGAATATTGCGTTTATATTCTGGGTTCATCTGCTTGCCTGTGCAAAGTCTGCATCATCAATAAGGTGTATACTGAATTTGGCCTTTAAATATCATATTGAAATATTCAAATATTTAAATAAATGTCTTACAAAATTACTATTTAATGCAAACCTCGTAAAAAATAACTGGCGGTCAGCAGAGGAAAACCTTGTTTTGCCCTCCAGGTGGGCGTTCCTGTGGGTGCGACGTCACATGAAAACTGTGAATACCTACTGTGCTTCCTTATTTAAAGGGGTCCTATTATGCTTTTTCACTTTTTTAATTTTAGTCAGTGTGTAGTGTGTATGTTTGGGCATAAAAAAAAGATCTAGAAAGTTACAAATCTCAAAGTCCACTCCAAAGGGAGATATTTTCAAACTGAAACTAAATTGAGGTCATTTGTTTTATAATTGTATTGCTGACTGTGTACTTGTCTTTTTTTTTTGTAAATTCAATTCAGTTTGAAATCAAAGTTGAAATCAAGCTTCCTTGTGCTGTAAGCTTTTGCAACAAAGTTACCCTATTTTAAAGACACAAATACACCGAATAAGCAAATGTTTAAGATTGAGATTTTTGTAATGTTAATTGATCAATATTTATATGTATGTAAATAAAAGCCTATATTAAAATCTGTTCATCATATAAAGCGAATGTGTCTTTTTAGAAGACTTGGATTAAACCAATTTCAAAGCTTGAAATAATGATTGCCTTGAAAAAATGGATGGACACAAAAAAAAAATGTAATATTAAAATATCTACACTGAACAAAATATAAACGCAACACTTTTGTTTTTGCCCCCATTTTTCATGAGCTGAACTCAAAGATCTAAGACTTTTTCTATGAACACAAAAGGCCTATTTCTCTCAAATATTGTTCACAAATCTGTCTAAATCTGTGTTAGTGAGCACTTCTCCTTTGCAGAGACAATCCATCCACCTCACAGGTGTGGCATATCAAGATGCTGATTAGACAGCATGATTATTGCACAGGTGTGCCTTAGGCTGGCCACAATAAAAGGCCACTCTAAAATGTGCAGTTTTACTGTATTGGGGGTCCGGGGGGGTCCGAAAACCAGTCAGTATCTGGTGTGACCACCATTTGCCTCACGCAGTGCAACACATCTCCTTTGCGTAGAGTTGATCAGGTTGTTGATTGTGGCCTGTGGAATGTTGCTGGATATTGGAAATTGTCTGCCGTCGCTTCCGCTCTGGAATGGCGTTCTTGCTCTGATGACGTCAGTTTGACGGTTTGGGGAGAATCCTCTTGTTAAGTATGACGTAAGGACTGCTGTTTCCGGGTCCATGCCTCTACTTATTTCACTTGAGAATACTATCTCAACAGCCATTTATGAGCACCATTTAATTAATATTACATATTTAAGCTAAGCATTTTCAAAATTGCTGTGCACACTACAGTTTCTGTGCTCAGACACTAATATTTTAGCTGAATCACTGTCAGGCCTTCTGGGATTTCGGTATGGCGATAAAGGTTAGGGTTATAAACATTTTTCAATATTACATGACATTGTGAGTGTGTATATGACCAGTTTGTTGTTTTTTGGGGGGCGTCTGGCAGAGGGTTAGGGCCCAGAAGCAGTGAAGCGTGATGTCAGACGTAACAAGCAGATATTCTTAACCAATATTATTATACACCTCTATTAGCAAGAGGTGGAGTGGAGGTGCACCACAATAAAACCCTGCCCTTTATTCAATATTCCGTTTGATTTGGAAATACATCTCAACACTGAAGTCAGTTGCAACTTCTGGTTCACGTGTACTTTGATACTGATATTTTTCAAGGTATTGAAGTTAGAAATTCCTGTATCATGACCACTAATTCACGTACTTTGTCAATAAGATAAAAGTGGGTTTTGTTAAAATTAGCTATTATCCACATAGATCTTTGATATGAATATTTTTTGGTAATTCATTAAATATCGGCGGCTAAAAAGTAACTAGTAACTAGTACTCTGAGTAGTTTTTGAGAGGAGTACTTAAGTACTGATTTGACACCAGTACTTTTTCTTGTAATTGAGTATTATTTCAGCAATGTAACAGTACTTGTACTTAAGTACAAATTTTCAGTACTCTTTCCACCACTGCCCACCACACATTATGTAAGCCTACTGTTACACTGTTTGCTTGGGCATTTACCTTTTCCAGCACATAGTTAGACACTGTACTCAGTAGACATTAGATGTTGCCAATATTGTCTGCCTATTTCCCCTATAAAACTGTATCTGGTTATACAGTGGACGTTTAGTCCACGGTAAAAATATCTTGATTTAGAAAGCTGCAGTATACACTGATTTAGTGACACTGCAAACTGCAAAGCTGTGTCACAGTCATCCATCCATAAAGGATTTACAACAACCAAATATTAACTTACATGAGACTTTTGGTTAATATTTTAACTTCATCTTAGGTTAATAATTGCTTTTGCAGCTCAAAGGTATCTTTTAAGCAACTGTAGGGTTGAAGGAGGAGCTAGCTTGAGCTTATTTCAATACAACCTGCTTCAACATTGGCCTGAACTGGAGTGTGTAAGAACAGCTGCATTGGTAGGCAGCTCACTCCCCTCTAAAGCTGAACATGGGAAGAAAGGGACGGCAGAAAATAACAGGCAGTCTAGCATCTGTCTTTCAGCTTCACGCGGTTTTGTGAGTGTCTCAGAAGGTCTGCAGTGTGTGCCAGGATTGGTGTTTGATGTTCTATTGATACTGCACTCCAGTGTTTTTTTGGGCCCCTGTAAATGCAGTCGCTATAGAAACCGCTGCAGTTACTGTCAGGACTTCGCATGAGCAGTCCCTGCCACAGACACCGAGGTCAAAGACATCTGCGCTTCCTGTCCTGCTCTTCTTAAATTACTCTGACCTGCATTTTCTTGTTCTCGCGCTCTTGTTCTCTAGCGCACAGAGCCTTAAAGGGACAGTCCAGCCAAAAACTGGTCAGCATTTACTCACTCTCGGGTTAGGTTCCGTGGAATTCAAAAAAAAAGAAGTAGAACTCCAGTAGAATCTCATTCGCATGTTTAAACTTGACATGTCAAGATCAGTCATGGAGCAAACAAGAACCAATGATGTTTAACATCACAGGCATGTGTTTGTTTTTTTGTACTGCATTTAGTATTTTTACAGTATATATTGTTTACAGTGCATGTTCATTGCTGTTCAAAAGTTCAGGGACAGTGTTTTTTTTAATACATTAATATAGCAAGAATGAATTCAAATGACAAAGACATTTATATTGTTAAAAAAGATTTCTATTTGAAATTGTTTTTTTTCCTGTTTATCAAAGAATCCTGAATATAAATATCATGGTTTTCACCAAAATATTAAGCAGCACAACTGTTTTCAGCATTGATAACAATAAGAAATGTTTATTGAGCATCAAATCAGCATATTAGAATTAATTAGGAAGAATCATGTGTCATTTAAAACTGGAGTAATTATGCTGAAAATTCAGCTTTGCATCACGGAAATAAATTACATTTTAAAGTATAGTAAAATAAGAACAGTTATTTAGAACTCTTTTTGATCAAATAAATGCTGCCTCGGTGAGCACAGAAGACTTCTTTCAAAAACCTTAATCTTATGTGACAGTGTATATAGAAGAAAGCAAGTTTTTCTATGAAGTGTGCCTGTGATTTACAGACTGGTTGAAACGACATTTCCACTATATTTTTGAAGTGGCTGAAACAACAATAAACCAAACTTGACTTGAAATTTCAGCACTGTAAACTTCTCCTTTTGTGTTCAAAGAACAAAGTCAGTCATACAGGAATGCCATAAGAGTGAGTAAATGACGACACATCACCCACATTACCCATAATCCTCAGATCTCATCAACAGCCATGGTCAACAAAACCAGACCCTGTCCCAGCTCGCAGATGGCGTAACTACACCATTATGCAGCCACAAAGTAAAGTGATGGTCATTCAAAAGCAGCCATGTATCTGGTATTTCAAGACAACTTCCTTACAAACACATATGTTCTTAAATAACCCGGTGTTCATAGGTTAGGGAAAGCTTTGTATTAAAGTTGTAAATTAAGGTTACGGTTTCAAAGTCCAAGACAGTAACAAGTCTGTTTACAAGAAAAAAGCTCTGTTCTAAAACCTTGCAAGCTTCCAGCGTCACGTGACCTTTCAGAAATCATTCTAATATGCGGATTTGGTGCTCAAGAAACATTTCTTAATATCAACGTTAAAAACAGTTGTGCTGCTTAATATTTTTGTGGTAACCTTGATGCAAATGGCCTAGAAATCTTTTGTAACATTACAAATTACCATACTGTCACTTTTGATCAATTTAATGCATCCGTGCTTAATGCAAATATCAATTTTAAAAAACAAAATTGAACGGACCCCAAACTTTTGAACTGTAGTGTACTTATTATGAGTTGCGCACATTTTGCTAAATTAAAAATACACAGCACGTATAAAATAAAGTGACCCATTTTTGATTAAACCAAATCAATTTCTATTGATACTTTTCAGTCCATCTGCTATCTTGTATTTCACTGACCTCAACTCAATGCAGACATGCAATACTGCCTTAGCATAAAGAAAAAATTGAGGTATTTTATAAGGCAGCTGGCTGAATAGTGTTGCTGTCTACCTTCTGGGACAGTTGATGGAAGCATGCTCACAATGCCTTCAGATGCTGTCAAAGCAAGCAGCCCACTAGGTTTTAGACAGAACTATAGTACAGTCTGTTTTGGTCCAGGAATTAAAGCTTACCTGTAGGAGACGTTGAAGCCAGTGAGATTATATGCCGCGTCACTGAAGAAGTGCAGCAGGGTGAAGCCAGACTGTGCCACCACCTCTGGGACGGTCTCATTGCTGTAGCTCTCAGGAACAATCAAACCACTGAAACATGAAAGAGAAGAACATAGAACACTTGATACCTCTGCTGACAGGGAACCCAACACTTTTAATAGTTTCAGCACTTTCTCATTTAACTGTCTACTTTCATTATAATGGGCTTTTTTAAAAAAGTGTTAAGGTTGGATTTTTGTAGATGTCCTGTCAAATATTGTACAAACTATTGGAGTCATTATCCAAGTTCATACTTCTACTTGCAGGCTCACCTGAGGCCAGTTGCATAAACTTAGCTTCTATGTTAAGACCGTGTCTTAAGAACTAGTTTGACCAATTAGCAGTTAGCCAAGGGGTAATCAGTCTTATTTTTTGCTTTCAAATTAGACCATTCTACATTTGTACCATATGTAACTGACTTAAAAAAAGACTTGAAGGGTTAGTTCACCCAAAAATTAAAATTAGCTTGTATTTTACTCACCCTCGAGGCGTCCTAGGTGTATATGACTTTCTTCTTTCAGGCGATTCCAGTCGGAGTTATATTAAAAATTGTCCTGGCTATTCCAAGCTCTATCATTGCAGTCAGCGGGTGTT